AATGGAAACAAGGTCTTTGCAAATAGGGAAGGGTGGAGGGGGTGAAGGGAGGGCAAGGGAAGGGGGAAAAAAATAAGAACCAAGAGGCTCATGTAATGGTACAAGATCCCAATGATGAATGTAACTGTATTTTATACTGAAAATGCACCAATAAACTCAATGGGGGAAAAAATATTGTTAATGTCTATTCCTCCAAAATTAGTGTTATTATCCAATCAATCTTAAACAAAACAGAAAAAAAAGAAAGACAATTAGAAGATGGGAAAAGCCGGGTGCGTGGCACATGCGTATAATCCCATCACTTTGAGAGGTTGAGGCCGAAGGATCTCAAGTAAGAACTCAGTCTGGGCAACTTAGTGACTTAGCAAGATCCTGTCTCAAAATTAAAAAAAAAAAATGAGGGCTGGAACATGGGTTCTATCCCTGGTGCCACACACCAAAAAAAAAAAAAAAAGAAAGAAAGAAAGAAAGAAAAATGGAGGGGCAGGGGGAGAAAAGGTAAGAAACCAGGTGGAGCCCATGGAAGCTTCTCCATCTGGTGCCTTGAGAGCTCCAGGTCCTGTGCCACATGTGAGTTTCTTCTACTTCACCATCCCCAAGAACTGTTTATCCCAGTGGGAGAAACATGGCTGCTTCCTTGGAGTTGGGTGGAAGCATCATCCTGCCTCAGGAGAAACAATCCAATGATAGTGGGCATATCCTGCTTGTTTCTGTAGGCCCCGTGATCATCAGCCTTCTCAATCTAGCCATTCTAACAAGTGTTTGTTGAGAGGTTGCCAGTGGGCCTACCCTTTTGCTAGGCAGGAGGGTACATACCGAGGAACTAGACACGGGCTCTTTTTAAAGGCAGTCTATTGGAGAGACAGAGGCCTCTGCACTCAATTGTGTGGTTCCAAGGACCAGTGTAATGTAAGAACAGAAATTGAGAAGCTCAATAATGCTGGGAGTTGCCAGAAAAACCTTGTAGATGTGGGCTTGCAGCGTAGTCATCATTGGGGTGGAAAGAAGGGCAGAGAGAACACTAGCCTCACAAAGGTGGTGAACTATGAGTTGTGAGGGGAGAGAGAGTGGTAGGGACCATTGGGCTAGTGGTTTCTCATTTGAGTGTCACTACCGTTTTTCCAGTTTAAGGACCTACGTTCAAGAGGAGTCTAGGCAAGGAATTATGGCAAGGACCCAAGGATGAAATGCACACGTGTGTTTTCTTAGGCCACATATTTTGGCCACATGATTCCTATAGAGGAATCTGAGCATCTTTTGATGTTAGGGTGGGTACTCTGTTCCTGAAGACATTAAGTCCAGGCCATGGGACACTGGCCTCACCGCCTCAGCTTTATCCAATGATAATACATCTTTGGTTAAGAGGCTCTTTTTCACAAATGTAAAATAAATGGCACAGCCTGTAACCATGGGACTGCCATGAAAGTAAAACCGATTACCAGACAAACCCACAGCTCTCATTTGGCTTCAAGTTACCACTTACTGGGAGAGCTATTTTCTCTCTTTTCCTAGGTTAAACCTATGAAAGCAAAAAGAAAGCCAGAATTCCTCTGGTGGTCCAGCCACTTGCTGGTGCTGAAGAAATGGCAAAAGCTGAGTAGGTACTGGCAAATCTCACTGTTCATCTCTCACTCCAAAAGGTTTGCCAAGTGAAACACAGGGTGTCCAGTTAAATTTGAATTTTAGGTAAACAATGAATCCTTTTTAATGGAAGTATGTCCGAAATACTGCAAGTCTAGCTGTCTGTGTCTATGGGAGGGGTGTGCATGTGCTAAACCTGAAAACCCTAACCCCAGGCATTTCTCATTTTCACTTCCAAGCTTTTGCAGAGTGTGTTTGGGGTCTTTGTTTTGAAGAAGGTTGTCCATCTCACTCTTAAGGGGATTGTGCTAACCCCTGCATCTTTAAAAGATAAATGCCAGCATTCTCACTTCCTAGAAGACCTGTGGTCACCTCAGCTGGGAAGCTAGGGAATGCTGGGAAGAAAATGGAGCTAGAGGTTCGAGGGACTTCAGGTCCCAGATCTGCTTTTAGCTGAACGACTTTAGACAAACATTTTGCTTCTCTGGGACTCTTTTTTTCTTACCTTGTGAACAACAGGGGTTAAACTAGTGAAGGATCTCAGGCTTCTGAGTGGGAAAAGTTGTAAGAAGTTCTGGCTTGGAGGTGGACTATGAGAGGTGGGGATGAAAGAGACTTGTTGGCTGTCCGTCCTTCTGTGAACATGGGGAAAGATAAAGGGCAAGCTTGGGCGCCTGGGACAGAGGCTCGAAGGCTACCCAACTCAGGAGTTAGCTTTATTAAGATCAGGCCTGAAATCTTGGTGTTCAGGTCTTGATGGAAAACACTCTCACACCAGAATGAGAGGTGGGGAGCCCAGGGCTCACCTCTTCCATGCCCCACTGACCTGCACGTTGGAGTCTGTATGTGGCATCGGGGGGCCATGTCCGCAAGAAGCCTCGAAGGTATCTCTTGGCAGAATACCCAGGCTGGATCTGCCGTTGGGCCTGGCTCTCTGCCTGACTTCGGAAGTAGAGGTAGGGTTGCCAAGTGCTGTCCTGCTGCCTCTGTGGGGACAGCAGTGGAGAAACAGCATAGCTGCTGAGCCTGAGTCTCCCAGGGCTGCATCCTGCTTAGCACAATCCTCGTTCTAATCTGGAGACTCTCAGAAAGTGCCAGAGGCACCCAAAGCAGCTCCCAAAAGACATAAACCAAGAGGCTACACAGAAAAGCCCTGAAAGGCCCTACAGATCTGCAGTTGGAAGGAGAAGGGGAAATGATAAATGCCAGACTCCATCTCGAGATACAGTGCTGGAAAAGGATAAAGCCTCGGAAGAAAACACCTTACTTCGTTTAGCCTGTGGAAATCATCAAAGTTCCTTCAAAACTGGCCCTGTTCTGCAGTGGGAAAGCCAGTGTGCAAATCAACAGCAGCACTTGATGTCTGTAAGATGAATAATGCGACAGACAAGCCACGTCCAAGCCCACAGGGAGCCTGGCATTTTGAGAATATGTGGCTCTGCCGTGTCTCATTTCAGCTAGGGAGATGGAAAATAGTGCAGGGAGTAAGTCTATAATAACATCTTCCATTTGGCTAGGGATTTGCATTGTGCAAAGAGCCTTGGCCTCATTGTAACCTTAGAGGTGGACTGAGTTACTGTAGCTACTGAAACAATGCAGAAACTCTCAGAGGATGATCGTGTCACCACCTCTCACCTTCCCCTTGTTTGTGGGAGACATTGCTAATCACTTACAGAATTCTGGACCGCTGAATTGAACATAAACTCAGAATCCATTCTCTCTTTAAATGTTTTAAAATAAATTGAGGCCTAATGTATACATAACAACATATCCAGAGATCATGTTCAGTTTGATAAAAATAAACAATTGTAGACACTTATAACACCACAAAATATAGACCATTCTCATCAGGCCAGAAAGCTCCCTCATTTTATTTCCCAGCCACTGCCCTTCCACTATTCTAATTTTTATCACCAAGGACTAGTTTTTCTCTACTTCTCAATGCATACAAATGGAAACATATATCAAATATTCTTTGCTGCTCCATGAAAATCATCCACAGTGCTTCAGTGAGAATTAGCAAGAGAGATGAAACCTATTTACCATCCCTTGATTCAGCTTCTCTCCCAAGGCAATATTGTAGATTAGGGAGATAGAGGATGTCTTAGTCCATTTTCTGCTTCTTGTACCACTGCCTGGGAGGAGACAGAAGGGCAGAAGAATAAATGTGTGAATGCACGCATGTGTGTGTGAGGGATGGGTACATATGCATGTGTGTGCCCCCATGAGAGATGGCTGCTTGTGCATGCATGTGTGCCTGTGAGAGATGGCTGTGTATTCATATGTGTGAGCCCATGGGAGATGGGTGTATATGCCCCTGTGTGCACTCTCACATGAAAGATGGAGGTGGGAAGATGTTGAACTCATCCATTTATCAGGAATCTACTCCCTTAACTAACTCAATCATGTGATAACAACATTTATCCATTTATGAAGGCACAGCCTAGGGTTCAAGGTCCCGCTTCTCAAAACTGAGGATTAAGTTTCCAACACATACACTTGGGTAGACACATTCAAACTACAGCAGAGGGTAAAAGGCTCAGCCAGTTACCCATAGCATCGGAATCAGAATCCGGGGCTTCACAGACTACATGAGCATAAAGCCCTCTGTTCTTCAAAAACTCATCATTTCACCAATGGACCAGGACAGAGCACCACGAACCAGTACGACGTCAAAGCAAGAAAAAATGATGGCTTTGAAGTGGTTGCCTCAGTGAGTATTCCAGAGAGTTGGAACCGTAAGAGTAGAGAGACCAACATAATTACATGTGTTAGGAGTCAGTAAAAGCTGACTCAACTTTGCACAATGAGAAAGGAAGTGTATTATCTCATATAACAAAAAGACAGAAGTTTGGAGAGTACCAGGGCTCATTAAATCAGAGCTTCAATGGTCCAGGGGTTCAATGGCGCCAACATTCTACAGACATCAAATCCCTTTCTACCTCTGACAACCGTCTTTTCACTTCACATCCACTTCACATCCACAGACTACTGAACAATGGACACAGGAGACATCAAGTGGGTACGCAAAGCACAAGCAGAGAAGTGGAAAGCGGGGAGAGCCTGAGAAAGCCCGGGGAAGTGCCCTGGATTTAGGGCCAGGGGTCTGGTTCAAGGCTCATCCTTCCTTGTAGGAGCTTTGTGATCCTAGGCAATTCCTAGCCTTTCTGCATCTCTCTCTAAAATGGCACCAACAGCATGGTAGAAAGTGTGGAAAGTTCATGGGGTTTGGAATCAAATAACCCAAAAGAATTAGATTTCACAGTGGGTCATAGTCAGAGGGGACACACTGTTGGAAAATCTATAACTAAATGAATAAACAGTTCCAGTTCCAGCCCTGACACCTAAGTTGTATAACTTCATCAGTGATGCTGGCCCTGTAGGGCTTTCTGATGAAGTAAGTGAAGTAAACAAATGTGTCTGACTCAGCCTATTTATGGCAAGATGAGAGGGCCCTTCCTCTCATCTCACTACCTTACATAGGAAAGGATTTCTGATCTCCCAGCACTGCTTGAGGGATGTGAGAGGAACATAGTGAAGGAGCCTGAGCAGGAGCTTTGAGATCCAGCCCTAACCTTGCTGGGCCTGTGAATTTAGGCAAGTTAATCACTTCTTGAGTGATTTTATCAGTGTCCTCAGTGTGAGGATTAAGTAAGCTGAAATGTGTGAAGTGTATAATCAATACTTTCCATATGATGAGTGGTCAGCAAACCAGGTCCTTCTCCTTCCCCTTGTCCAGGGCATGGGAGACTGTGATAACTGGACACTTCTTCCCCTCACTTCTTTCCCTGACAGAACCCCAACTTTTTGTTTACAGAGTCCTTTCCTCAGATTTTTACTTTCCTAGACTCTATTGCATCTTGGAGTGGCCATGTGATCTGTTTCTGGCCAAGGAGACATAAAGGGGCACTGCTGGGGGTTGGGGCTGTGTCCGGTGGATAGGGAGCTCACTTCCTCCCTGAGCATTTTTATAGTCAGCTGGATTCTCTCAGAATGCAGCATGGCTCTTGCAGTATAAGAGCCGCTGTGTGGGCAGCATGACAGGTTTGGTCTGGACAGAAGACCCTGTTGTTTCTCCCTGGTGAGTGTCTCTGAAGCACCCGCTTAGTTCAGGAGCTGTACTGGGCAGCTTGCTCAAGGGGCAGGGATTCGCCAAGAAGAGCTAGGGAAGCTCTCATGCTGAAATTTGGGTTTTGCTTTTTTGCTTAATGTTTGAAAGCTGTCCATGGCCAGTGTGTTAGTTTCCTATGGCTTCTATAACAAGTCATGCACATTTAGTGGTTCAAACAACACAAATGATTACCTAATGGTTCTAGCAGTTAGAAGTATGAACTGGGTCTCACTGGGTAAAATCCAGTGTTGGCAGGTCTGCATTCCTGTTGAAGGCTCTGGGGAAGAACTCATTTCCTTGCTTTGTAGGGGAAAGGGTCTGTGGACAAAAAAATAGGGACCTCAGCCTCATTAAGTCTTTTAGCTAATCCTAACTAGATGGAGTTAAAAATAAACTTTACTTTAAAAATTCCCCTGGGAAGCAGGCCAAGAACAGGGTAGAAAAAGGGAAAAATCAGATAAAGAAAGGCACAAAATGACTTTGGGACTTGCACCAAGGGACCAGAGAGAGAAAGAGCTGACGGGCAGGACACAAAGAGAAAGCCAAGTGCACAAACAATAAGCTGCCCCCACCTCCAATAGAATATCGGGGAAGCAAGGGTGGGGGTGACTACCTTTAAGGCAGTGTGTACTCACAGCTAAGCACTAGCATGTATGTGTTCACTCTGGGATCACTACATTATCCAGTCTAGAGTCACTATATTCATCACATAATTGTAGAGTACAATAGATATCCACATACCCTCTTACTAACTCTAAGCTAATCTTAAATAAGGCACCCCCTTGCTGCCCATCCCAAAGATAAGGCCTTGAAACGTAGGTCAAGGACAAGTAAACAGACAAGACAGAAAGAAGCTGCACATAGACACCAGAAAAAATGATGCTAAGCAGAGATGCTTGAGAGTCAACCCAGTTATGGCAAGTTCCAGGTGGGGGAACTTGCACCCCGCCCCCCATAAAAGCAGTCTGGAACAAAGGCTCACAGGTCCTCCATCTTTCTGGAGTCCCTTACCCTAATTCCTTCTTATCAGGGTAGCTAACTATCTTCTCCTTGCCCCCTTTCTTTTTCCTCTTTACAAATAAATATCTTCCTTTTGTTAAACTTTGTCCCTCTAATTTCTTATTAGGGCAGAGTTTACAATCCTGGTGGGCTTCTCAGACAGCGGAGCAGCAGTGCTCATCCTGGGGTGTGACATCTTTGGTTCCCTGACCAGGATCCAGGCAGGACAGCTTTTTTCCAGGACTGAGAGGCCTCTCCTCAGACTCAGCAATGTTGGGCCGAGTCCTTCTCCTGTTGCTGTCTCTGATTTTCCCTTCTGTTTCTGTCTTTACTTTTAGGGTTCCTTGTGATTACTTGGGCCCACCCAGATCGAAGATAATCTCCCTATTTTAAACCCATCTAATTAGCAACTTGAATTCTATCTGGAAGCTTAATTTCCCTTTGCCATGTAACCTAACCAATTCACAGATTCTGGGGATTAGGATGTAGATATCTTTGGGAGATTGTTATTCTGCCTCTACATTTTTTCTGCTTTTCTGGTTTTGGTAATTTCTCAAATGATACCTGTGAAGTTGAATGGTAATGTCTCATCTCACCGGACAGCCTGAAGTGCTCAGGGAAGGCCAAGGGCTGCGTAAGGGCTACCAGGGAGAACAGTCAGGGTGAGTCTACCCACTCATTTCCAATGAGCTGAATAGTATTTTAAATGGAAACAAAGCAAGATACAAGAGAGCATGTATAGTATAGTTACAATTTCATAAAATTATATTATCTTATATATGCATAATTATGGTAGAAAGACTGGAAGAAAGTAGATTCCAACGCTAATAACAGCAGTTTTAGAGAGCTGGGCAAAAAGATCACAGATCACAGTTT